CTGGAGACAGCCTGTATCAGTCTATCACAGCCAATTCTCACATCCCTTCCCAGCTTCTCCATTCTATGAAGTTCTACTGGTAGCTTGAAATAACCATAGTGGAAGTGTTTTACACCAAAGGCTGTAAATCAGAGCTCCCTCCACCCTTGGTTTCCAAGTGTGAAACATTTCCATTTACCAGATATATATATATATATATCGTATAAATATATTACCATGATATATGTACTATATATAACAGATAAAATACCCTCACAGCAGCATATATATGTGAGTGTGTGTTCTTCTTGGTGCCCACCATGCAAGGCACATAGTGCTGTACCATCCAGCTACAGCCCTGGGCACTTTCTCATTATTTGGTTAAGATGGTACATGTCAGGTGAAGGGTGACCATTTTCCCCTTTATAATTGATAAGTCACTTAAGGAGAGAGAGGTGCGTTTTGATTATACAAACATCTAACCCTGTTTCTAATCAGATTTTCACACTGTGGCTTTTTTTTTATTGAAAATTATTGCTTAGGGTTGAGGAGGGGGCTTGTAGCTCAGTGGGAGGGCTCTTGCCTGGCAGGCATGAAGCTCTCCGTTCAATTCCCAACGCCACAAAAAACAGCAACAATAAGAATATTGCCTGCATGAATTAGTACTGTGCTAGATGCAAATGGTAATTTTTACACTCCTCCCTGCCTTTCTTCCTCTCTTTCTCTTGCTCCTTTTCTTCCTTCCTTCCTTCTTTCCTTTCTTCCTTCTTTCCTTCCTTTGTGTCATTACGGGGTTGAATTCACAGCTGTCCCTTACCTCCTTCTCTCAGGGTGGATGTTCTAGCACTTGAGCCACAGCCCTACTTCTGGCTTCTTTCTTTCTTTCTTTCTTTCTTCCTTCCTTCCTTCCTTCCTTTCCTCCTCTTCCTCCTCTTCCTCCTCCTCCTTTTCCTCCTCCTCCTCCTCCTCCTCTTCTTCCTCCTCTTCTTCCTCCTCCTTCTTCTTTCTTTTTTTTTTTTGTGGTGATCAATTGTAGGTAAGAGTCTTGTGAACTTTCCTGGCTTCAAACTATATTCCTCAGATCTCAGCCTCCTAAGTAGCTTGGATTACAAGTATGAACCACCAGCTCCTTTGTTCACACATTTCTTGTATTTTGTTGGTGTCTACAAGTTAATTTTTTTAATAAACTTAATCCTAAAATAGGGAGTGATAGATTCAAACCATACTGCCATCTCCCAATAGTTTATCAAGTAGTTCTAGAGATGAAGTGTCTGTAGCAGGTTGCCATCCATTGCTATATGGTAAGTTTCCATGGAGTCCTGGATCAATACAGCACGCGCAGGATGAGGCTCCAGGAATAATTCTCCCATTGCCCATGACACTGTCTGTTTGTTGATGACATATTATCCCACTACCAGTGGAGGTGGCATTTTAGTCATTATTTTTCAGTCATTGCCTGCTTGGAAGATTCCGGGTGAGAGATGTGCACTGGAATCATAGAAGGTTATCTGTTCATCGGCGAGCAGGGAACAGGATGTCTGACGATGGCACATCTCAGCTCCCCAGTGTAGTGTAGACTACCAGCTATCCGTAAAGCAAGAGGGTCATATTGTTACACAGTTCCTTTCAGATCCTAGAACTTTATTTAGGTTCTTCTATTTGAGAATCAAAACCTAGAATTTCCCATATTGTGAGAGTCCACTGAGACAACTACGCAAGGACAGAAGAGAAACGAAGTGTGGGTGGAGCCTGTACTCACTGACCTAGTAAGTGAATTCACAGTGCAGCTACATTAGCCATGAGGGTGTAGCACGGGGACTTGACACTGTTTCATTTTACCTTTGTGCATTCAGCCACATCACCTGACTCACTTCTCTGGTTCTCTTTGTTTATCCCTAAGAGTCGTGGAAACCCACTGGCGGAGCTCGGGTTACCTTTCTCTTTGAGGAGATCCCTCCATCAAGAGTTAGCTTGCCCAGGACCTATAAGGTTACATCTGTTGCCATGGTTGGAAGTAAGAGAAAAAAAAAAATCTTCTCTCCTGGGCAGTCTGTAACTTCCAAAGAACATAGAAACTTCAAGCCTGAACTTCTAGAGTTCTTTCTAAGGCTTAATTAAATATCAGCAAGTGAACTTGCAGACAAATAGTGTTATTCTTGGTTGAACTCGGTGAACCAGGCAGATACCATTGGCAACCTGTATTAGAATTTAAATATGTGTTATTTTGGATTTCTTTTCTCTCCCCCTCTCTCTCCTTCTCTTTCTTTCCCTCTATCTGTCTCTCTCTCCTCTCCTTCTGTCTCTCCCTCCATCCCTCCCTCTCTCCCTTTTTCTCTCTCCATCTCTGTCTCTGTAGATGTGTCTCTCTGTCTCTGTCTCTCTCTCTCTCTCCCTTTCATGCCAATACTGGGACTTGAACTCGGGGTCTGTGCACTGTCCATTAGACTTTTTGCCCAAAGCTGGCACTGTACCACTTGAGACACCGCTCCACTTCCAACTTTCTGGTAGCTAATTGGAAATAAGAGGCCCTCAGACTTTCCTGCCTGGGCTCGCTTTGAACCATGATCCTCAAATCTCAGACTCCTGACCAGCTAGGATGACAGGCGTGAGCCACCAGTGCCAGGCTTCGAGAATATTTTTCAAAGGACTCGTCTAAGGATCTGGTGAAGTCACTGGGTTTGGAGAATATTGATAGTAACTTCCTATTTCTTCCACTCATCTTTCACTTTTCAACATCCTACCAAATACACTTTTTCTCTTCTCCAAGATGTTAAGACAAATTTAACTTTGAGGTTTGGCCTATTTTCAAGCCTAGTGATGTTTTTTAGTTGCTCCTCCAGCCTCCCTCCACCCCTTCTTTTCTCCTAGTTTCTTTTTTGTTGAAATGTAAGGAATTTAACCTTCCTAAATTTTAATCTGCTCAACACCCCACCTCTCCTGTTGAATTACCCATGTCATCATCTGTTAGCAGGTTTCAGAAACCTACCTACCATCTCTTACTTGAAAGACAGAGGGCCATGGGCTTCCACAGCAACCTGGCTTCTCTTTGATTTTAATAATCTGTTTCTAGAGATTATAGATGAGCCTTGTATTCTAAGGCTTGGAAGTCTCTTAGCTTTAGAAAAACAACAACAACTTTGAAGTAGATTCTCTGATTCAGGGTTTGGAAGGTAGACCCCGCATGCTGGAGGATGAAGATAATTTGCTTTAGCATTGTAATATAAGGGAAATAAGAATAAGTGTCACTGCTACTGTAACACTCAAATGGTTTAGTTTGGTTTCGATGTATGCCTTTTCTAAGATTTGTTGATGTGTTTGTTAAGAATTCTAATAAAATCACTAGGAACCCTGAGAGAAAAGCTTAATCCTTTCAGAAATCCTTCCTTATTGAGGAAAACCATTTATGTAAAGCTACCTATTGTACACTTAACTTAAAACTTTGTAATCACTCCCCAGTGATTCACTTAGGATAAGTAGGAAATAGTCCAGTTCAGTTTAGATTCAATAGGTAGGAGGAAGAAAGAATACCAAGGCAAGGAAGGTGCAGTACTGGGGCTTGAACTCAAGTCCTGGACATTATTTTTTTTTTGGGGGGGGGGTCCAGTCATGGGGCCTGAACTCTGGGCCTGGGCGCTGTCCCTCAGCTCTTCAGCTCAAGGCTAGCCTTCTACCACTTGAGCCACAGCACCACTTCCGGCTTTTTTCTTTCTGTTTATGTGGTGCTGAGGAATCAAACCCAGGACCTTATGCATGCGAGGCAAGCACTCTACCACTGAGCCACCTTCCCAGCCCTTAATTTGGGATCTTGAAAGATTAAAAAGATAAGATGATGAAAATATAACAAGAGTTTATCACACCTCAGTGTAAAGGCCTTAGAACTTCAGTCTGCTAAGCTTTTATTGTGACTCACTTTTAAGGCCTCCCATTTGATCTAGAATGAAAAAATATTAATTCACTAGTGTGTCATTGACACAGAAGGGAATTTATGCGTTAATAATATTTGTATTGTATACATCCTAAAACAACTATGCTGTGACACAGAGGGGGGAAAAAATCACAAGAAACCCACACAAACAAATCTAGGAAAATCTGCCTAGCTTAAAAAATGAATTTCCAGAGATAAAAGATTATTCATGTTGAAGTTGTCAGAATTTTCAGCTTCAAAGTCATTGTGTTTCCCATGTACTATTCTCTAAACAAAATTCTCCACAGCTAACATCACACACACACACACACACACACACACACACACACACACACACACACACACACACACACACACACACACACACACACACACACACACAGTGCCATTTCCCCTAGTCCTTACAATGAGTCTCTCTGAACACCCCTCTCTCCTCTGCAGTGGTATGGTCTGCATTTGATCTTAACCTGGAGTTGCCAAGCTGTGATAGCTTCCCCAACTCGATAGCCATTTGGTACAGTCTAGGGCAGCCCTGCATTCAGTGATATTTTTCTTTCCCACCAACAGGGACAGATCGAAGTGGACAGCGAAACCATCTTCAAGTTAGCAGCACTCATTTTACAGGTAAGAATGGACCCGATGGCTCTGACTAGCCCTTTCAATATTTCTTGGTTTTTGCTAACTGCCTGCAACTCTGAAACTTTTGTGTGGACCAGCGTCTGGTAGATTAAAAAAATAAATAAATAAAACAGTTACAGTTGCTTGCCAGTAGAAAAATGTGAGCCACTGAATTCTGTTTTAAAGTCATCTGCGGGAGCTATATGGTGTGATATTCTGTTTCTCAAAGAAAAATGAAATTTAGACTGCTCCAAGTGAAAAGAAGTCACACTGTATTTGGAGGGACTGCTCTAAGTTACTTGAATTTGGAAGGCAGCAGTTGTTAGAACAGCTGTAATTTTCATTTAAATTTAGTAACTTTTGTGTACATTTTCTTGAGGGTGTACAAAAAAAAGCCCTTTAATTTTGAAAAGCACTAGTAGTGGAAAAGCAAAGTCTATTTCTGTTTAAAAAGTAAAGAGAAAACAAATAGTATATGTTGATTTACTTGTGTCATCATTTCAAAGGTCTCTACCCAGCCAAAAGAAAGAATGAAAGAAAAAAGAAAAGCGGCCCTTGCAAGGAAAATCATTCATCTTGTGATTTTAGAAATGTAAAGATTTTAGAAATGTATGTCTTTATTTGTCTCTGTGAATGAATACTAATATTTTCTCATCAATGTGATAGCCACATTTTTTTCCGTACAAAACTATGAGAAGAAAATAGCCAAGAATGCATATAATTGATTTAGCTTAGCATAAATGCATAGTAATCATCTGTCTTTTTTTTTTAATTTCAGGAAGCTAAAGGAGATTATACCAGGTAACAATTCCTTTTCTGATATTATTATGCAAAATAACCTTCTCTCCAAGTATGTGTTATTTTAAATAACAATAGATGCAAAAATCAAAAGAAAGTTGATCCTCAGCCTGGGGACTCAGATCCCTTCCCTCTTCAAATAGAGACCTATTCTGTGGGTGAATGAACCTCAGAATGAACCTTCCTTACAATTCTTCAAACCAGAATGACAGTGAATTCTAATCAGAAGCCTTTCCTGTCATGTTGGTGAGGTGAAGAAATAAAAAGCTCAGCCTTAGCTTGTGTTGATTTGTAGAAAACTTACAACGATCCTGTGTCTACAGTTATAACGTATGCACAAAAAAAAAAAAGATTAAATCCATCAGCTGCTTAGTTAAGGGATTAATAGGGGGCTTGCTTTTGCAGCTGCCCGGAGGGCAGCACCCTTCCTGCATTTGACCTAACAGTTGTATTGTCTCTGTTCAGATACTTACTGCTTCTAACTAACTGCTTTACTGGCCATATCATTGAGTGTTTATGTGTGAATTCTTTCCCTGTAATGCACTAGTTGTAGGTGCTGAAGTAGAAATAGTTAAAGGTGGAGGGGTGGTCTCTGATTAGAACCAGCACACAAGTCAATGAACCATTGCAGTCCTGGCCTCCAGCATGTTAATGTTCGACTCCTGTTAACTGTTACACCCGGAGATGATTTCCACATCACCTAGTTAGTACCCATTCCCAGCCAAGTCTCTGAATAAAGTGTTTCTTAACAAACCTGATAATGATGCCCTCTAGCTTGACAGCTTCCAGACTCTGAGTAGCACTGATCTTTGGAGGCGCCAAATAAATCTGTGACCCTCAGATCTCAGCCTCCTGAGTAGCTAGGATTACAGCTGTGAGCCACTAGCACCAGCTCTCCAATTTTTGTAAGTTAGTGTCAATTAAGTTCATGAAACTAAGAAGGAGGTTTTGTCTTCACATGTCCATATATGCAAACAACATACCTTAGTCAGTAATCTTTTTATTTGAAAAGAAAATGGGAATATGGATTCTATTTTATAAAACAGGAAAAAAAATTATCTGATCCTAGAATTGGAAATTAAGCCAAAGAAAATATTTCAAAGAAAGAAAAAGAGAGAAAGGAAAGGAAGAAAAGTGGCAAGGTGAGAAAGAATGAATTAGTTTCTAGATCACAACTGAGCACAGTCACCTTTGCTGGATCTTTTGGGAATCTAAGACATGCAAGGAACACTTCATGTATGGTGTGACTCTAATGTCACTTAGTAAATGACCTCACTTGTGAATGAGGTCTGAGGGCTCAAGGGCTCTTAAAATGTGAGGATTTCTAACCTTCCTTTCCCTATTTTGTCAAGGTCAAGCAGGTGACAACCTAACCCTCTATCTCTTCATCATAAACTGTCCCTACCTCCCCCTAGGACTGTGGGAAGAATTAAATGTATAAACATTCCCCTGGGCGGTATCTGGTATCTGGTATCTGGTTTGTAGTAAGCTCTGATTGCACCTAGCCTATTACCATTAATTTAGCATCATTACATTCCTGACCATCATTTCCAAAATCCTGGCTGGTCTCTTGGCTACCCCTCAATGTTCAGACTAAGATGGGTAGGAAGAAGAAAGACTAGAAAGAGAAAGGCTGATTTCACCAGACCTTCTGCCTGAGGCAGAAGGTGGCTTTTGGAGGAACCTTTCTTGAGTGATCCAGACCTTTCTAGTTATAGCCTTAGGACTTCAAGCTAGTGAGAGACCTCTGTCCCAGCCTAATCTAGTCTCATTCCTGAACTTCTTCTGGTTTCTGGTAATTTCCTCTGGGCTCTCTAGGCTGAAGAAGTGTCACACACTGTGTTGAAATTGTCCAGTTTCACTGAATGGTAGAAAGAACATGGGACTGGGTATTACACAAACCAGCAGCATCACCCAGGACAAGACATTTAGCTTGTCTGGCCTTCAGTTGCCAATCTATTAATTGGGGTTAAAATCACAATGAGGACTTTGCAGCATGATTTTGAGGAAGTTAGTGATATGGAAGGATTTGGGAAGTTATAAATTATTATTTTAAAACATGAATGAAATTTTGATTCAGTGCTATGTATTCCCTCTTTCCACCTGATCTCCTGCCCTGAATGAAGCAGATACATTTTTCCTCAAAATTATGTTATGAAACTAATTAAAGAAAATCAGGCAGAATAAAGTAAGGACTGGTTAGTGATATACTGGTTAGAAGACACATTGGAAGCCTAGCCTCATTGGAATTTTAAGTCTAGAACAAATTACATCTCTCCAAGTCTCGGGTTCTATTTAATAGAACACATGAGGAGTAACAGTACTAATAATGGCCAGTATATACTCTGTATCATAGGACTGCTGTGAGGCTTAAGTGCATTACTATTTGTAGTGCTCAGAACAGATCCTTTGGCTGTACCTGAAATATCCCATCAAACTTAGTGACAGGACTCATCATCATTCACGTCTTCTCACAAGTAGAAGTTGCTGTCCCCACATTTTATTTTCATTTTATTTTATTTTTGCTAATGTTGTGGTGAATTTACTTGCATTTTGGGGACTGTCATTATTGATGATTATTTCCTTAAGTGCAGTTCTCAAGAGAGAAAGAAAATACATTTCTTTTAATTATTTGTGTGCTAGTAATAGGGATTGAGTTTAGGGCCTGTGCATTTTTTTTCTCTCAAGATAGGTGCTCTACCACTTGAGTCATGGCTCCATTTCCAGCTTTTTTGGTGATTAATTGGAGATAACAATCTTACAGGCTTCATGCTTGAGCTGGCTTTGAACTTAATCCTCAGATCTCAGCCTCCTAGTTGCTGGGATGACAGTTGTGAACCAGTTTAAAAAAAATTCTTGAAGAGGCAAAGAGGTGAAATGAAATGTAGGTAGTCTTGATTACACTACATTTAAATTATAGATTGCTGTCATATCCAATAAGAATCTGAAGCCTGAGTTATGGCAGCACCTCTCCAGAGACAGAGGAGGCCAAAGATGCATCCTGTATGCAAACGTGACCTTCCTTTCTGGAACCTGGGTTCTTCTGGTCCTGGCTACTTTAACAGCAATTCCTGGTTGTACTCTACTGTTGGTTTATACGTAGGGTGCAGCTCTTAGCTTTAACTACTTTACAACGTCACTGAATTTTCTCATGGAGGCATAAACATCACCAAAATACATCTCCAAACATCTTAGTTTTTGCAGTTCAAACAGTGATTAAACTCCTAATTCTTGGAGCATACCTGGTTCCACGCCTGAGTTCCCACTCACATTCTCTTCCTTCTTTCCTCCCTCATTCCCTCCCTCCCTTTTTCCCTCCCTCCCTCCCTCCTTTCTAGCCCTCCCTCCTTTCTAGCCCTCCCTCCTTTCTAG